ACCAAAAAAGAAAGATCTTGATCCTGGGAGTTTCCAATTTCATTGAAATATCATGAAAAAATGAAATAAAACCATATAGGTGAGGGCAAGCTAACACGGAACTCAGAAGGCCAGAGAGCTATCTGATCTCAACCTTGAAATCTGAGGTGAGACTGTGTGTAAATCTGCTGGACTCTTGGTCACATGGTTTTTCATCTGGAAAATCCACTGGACTCCAAGCTCCACTAGGAGAGCTCCTCCACCTGCCTCATTCACCACAACATCTCAGCTCTCTTGTATAATTCCAGATACAAAATAAGTGGTGAGGCGACATTTGTCAAGTGAAAACATGATCTGTTCTAACCCTTCCAGCTTTGAAAATCAAAGGTCCATCATCCAGACCAAGGCTGAGAAGTTACCCAAGACTGAGAACCAGGGCCATTGCCAACTTGGCACCAACTTCCTCAGCTGCCTCATAAGATGGCATCATGCTGGACTCTGAGCAACGCTGGGCAAGCAAAAAATCTGATTCAGAGCTCAAGTGATATTTTTTTTTTGAAGCCCTGACTTCATGATTTCATTCAAAACTGACTTTCATCCCAACTGAAGAATTTATCAAAATCCCAGGAAAACAAATAAAAAATTGTTCCCCTCCTCACCCTCTCCCCTCCAACTCACTATAGTGCTCATCTCCACATCCTTCCCAACATCTCTTGCTGATGATAATCCCAGAAACATTTACAGCAATCGCCTGAGTATATTTCTTTTCTTTCTTTGGTGAAACTACAATTTTGCTATTTATGAAAGTCACAAATGGAATGCAAATGTGCCCCCTTTGCTTTTCCATATTGTTACCAACTCTGATTCTGATTTAGAAGGGGAAAATGTTGCATTCGTGAGAACACTCAAATTTTAGCACAAATTTCAAAAGGAAAGTCAGGTTCTCTCAGTTATTGGAGGTGCAGAAACACGATGGTTCATTAACCTATTCCAACTAAGGCATTCTACCCGTTCCCACGATGCTCCCATCCAACCCTCCCCCAATACACACACATCTCCTTCTGAGTTGATGACAAAGCAAGACCATTATTGCTTTTGTAGTTATTTAACTATAAAGGTGCTAGGTCAGAAGTTTGGATGATCATTATTTATTCTTGAGGTTTTTTTTTTAAAAAAAGGTTGAATTGGTTGAAAGGACTAGCCTTTTCCATGTGAAAAGATGTAAATGGAAATTTATGATTATGGTCTCAAAAATGATGAAGGATGTACAGTGAGTAAAGACAGATCTGTTCCTTGAATCCTGACATGCCAGAACTAAGGGGATACAGTAAGAATTGAAGGAAGTGTCTGCTTACAAATCCATTTAGAACTTCCCTGAGAGCCAGAGGAAACCTCAACAATCCCAGAACCCCAGATTTGCTGGGGCCCAGGGGAGTCCATTTGAATTAGAATTCTCTCTCTGCCAACTCAGCCACCTTCTGCAATTTAGCCTCTCTGAGCCTCAGATTGCTCAAATGCAAAATGGAGATGGTGGTATCTATATGAAAGAATTGCCAAGAGGACTAAATAAGAGAAAGAACCCCGAAAGGTGCCTTTTAATTGTGTGTGCTCGTAAATGTTCTTTCCCTGCATGCTCCTTCCCACATCTGACTTTCCCCTTCTCCCCAACCAGTAACTTGGACAAGGTGTTATTAGTATAGATCTTATTGTTCCCAAGAGAAGTGGTTTGGGTGAAATTTCTGTCTAGCTGGAGTTCGGTTGGGTGAGTTTATTAGATGTGTAAATGGTAGCTAGGATTTTGGAGTTTCTATGAATTTAGGCTCTGGGTAGGTCCCCCTTCTTGAGGCTGACAGCTACAAGGACAAGCCACCCTCAGCCAGTGTCAAAGACAAGAAAGGGCTTTCCCACTGCTTTGCATTGACCCTGTGGGGCCCCTTTAGGCTTCTGTGGAGCCTCCTGCTCCTTGATTCCTCATTAAGACAAACTTCCAGCTCTTATTAGTTGCCTGAATAGCTAATATACTCCATTAATTTGAGTTAAAATGTTCATGGGTGGTAAGGGTTTAATTTGCTGCCACTCCCATAGAACTCCTACATTTTAACCCATGCATTCAATGACTTGACCTAAAGAAATGATTACTATGGGATCTCCCAGTTTCCTGGGAAATTCTAGGCAGGAAAAGGGACTTGGTTAAACATAGGAGTCAGGAAGGGTGGGGATCGGGTGGCCAAGTCAAGTGTGTGCCCATGTGGCAGTTTACATCAGCAGCCTGACGTTTGCTGTTAATCCTTCTTCCCCTGTTCTATATTCCAGGAGCAAACTTGGTTTTCAGGGTCGTGGATGTGCACAGTTCATTGATAAAGTGGCTGGCCCAAGAAGATTCCAACCTTATAGATAATGGTCCCAGGGGTCCTCTATCACCCTTCAAGTAAAGTCCCAATTTCAACCACTCGCTCCAAGAACAGCCTCTATGTTAATAAGGCTACTCTATTCTTCAGCAGATGTACTTAAGGATATCTCCCTGTTGTCTGGGTACAAGGATTTCTCTCTAAGTGAAGAAATTTCTTGATTTGGTGAATTTTCGGATCGTGGCAGTACCTCCATGATGTTTTCTGAGTACAGCTGGTGAAGAAGCAAAGACTAGGGGAGAGAACCGCCTGCTAGTTTCTTCTTGCTCTTTCGGGTGATCTTATTCATCAATTAAAGCTAGTCAGAAGATCCTAGCTCTACTGTATCACATCTTAGGTTATAATTAGGCACTTGAATGTCTGGTTTCCTTCTGAATAGAGAGCTACTAAAGGATAGAAAATTAAGTGTCCCTATCCCCTGGCATGATGCTGGTGCTTGCTCATTAAGTACCGCTGAGCCCTGGAGTGAATGGGGAGGAGTGGTTTAAGTATTGAGCAGCACACCAGATAAACCCTGTTCATACCCTCCCAACTACTGGTCTCAGAAAAGCAAGACAAAATAACAAGAACTTCACACCTCCTAAGCTACCCATCAAGCAAGTTAGAGGGAAAGATCGAGGCACTTAGAAACATAGGAGACAGGATGGTTAGTGGACCACATGGGAAAACTTTTGATGTTTTGTCCCTGCCTCTAACAGATAGGGAGTATGGCATTCAACATTGTGCTCAATATCACAAAGTCTCTCCCCATCCCAAATGTGTGACACTCTGAAGAAGCTCGCCATAAAAGGAGTACAGGTGCATAGACTTGCTAGGGCAAGAAGCAAATGAAGTGAGGTAGTAGGAATTAGTACACTTCTCTTTGGGGGGGGGGGGGGACATCTGCTCCTGGCACTCAGAGGAGGCCAATACAGAACTTTCCTCACTTCTCTATGCTGCTTTCCCACTCTGCTTTCCAAGCAGGGCTCCCAGTGGCAACAAAGTCCAATAGCCCCCCAGCTTGGAAGCTTTCCTTTTGCTCATCCTTCTTACATACCAAGAGAAACATGGACTCTGGACACAGGCAGAACTTTGTTGGGGAAATCAAAAAGGGCCTTTTACCTCTCCCATAGCCATCCTGGAGAGACTTGGCTGCTGCCAGCCCTTCCTCAAGCCTCTCTGAATTGTCCTGAGGACTCAATCAATGTGTCACTCCCTTTCCTTTGCAGGTGCTCTGAGACAGGACACTCCATATAGCTTCTCCAACAGGGTCTTCTCACACTCAAATCTTTAGGACTCTTTCACAAACCAGATGATCATTTCTGGAAACTTACATTTCCTGATTTCAGGAATTGTTACAATTAGTGCAAGGGGAGAAAAGGGGAATTATCTAATTCCAGAAAAATTTAACTGGGCCCTTCCCACTCCAGGCTAATGGCTGGTGCAAAATGTAATTTCAGCTAAATTGTCTAAGGCTGTAAAAGCGCGAAATGTTCAGCAAGGAGGCAGTACCTCTTGTGGGAGCCATATTTTTCTATAAGGCCTTTTGATCAAGATAGGACTCCAGGGAGGGGGGTAGTTACTGATTTTACTAGAAGAAAACAAGAGCTAGGGAGATGAAGCCTACTTGGAGTCAGCACCTCCACGGCCAAGGCAGGGTGGGCGCTGAGTCCATCATTGCACGTAGAACAACCACTCCAGCGGGAGCACGGGATCTAGCCATGACTGAGTGACTTCCACAACTCAGAGAGCTCTCAAGATCCAGTCTTGGGTCTCTAAATGGACGAAGAGTCTGGCTGGGATGTGGCTCAAGCGGTAGCGCGCTCGCCTGGCATGCGTACGGCCCGGGTTCAATCCTCAGCACCACATACAAACAAAGATGTTGTGTCCACCGAGAACTAAAATAAATAAATATTTTAAAAAAAATAAAAAATAAATGGACGAAGAGGACTGCCTAAAGGAGGTGGCTTTTCGCAGACTAAGCGCTACGCCCACAGACTGCAATCTGCATCTCGTTGAAGTTGGCCTGTCTTAGACATTTCTTCTCCCTTCCCTTCTTCCGCCTCTCCTCCTAATTCGTCAACTGCTGAAATATCTGCCTGGTTGAAACCGCCTCCTCGCTGCGCTCAGGGTTCTGTCCCCAGGTGTTGGTCTTTGTGTCGGGAAAACTTTGAGAGGAAGCGAGGGTGTTGGACAAAGAGCGGGCGAGGGAGGGCGTTTGCCAGCCGGCAGTGTGCGCCGGGAGGTGCGCGCTCTTCCCAGAGCTCCGCTCGGTACCCGGTCACACTCGGTGCCCCCAGCCCAGCCTTCCTAGGCCAGGAGTGGCATGCTCTGGCCATATCCTCGCGCCCTCGGGAGCTGAAAGAAGCCAGGGGGGAGAAGCAAAGGCAGGCGGCTGGACGTTGGAGTTGGTGGGAGGAGGAGAGCAGGGGCGCTGAGCAAAGCTGTCAAACTGCGCGCGGAGCGGGGCGCGGGGCGGGGAAAGGGAGGGGAGGGGTGGGGAGGGGAGGGGCAGGCAGCAGCCGAGAGAGAGCGAGCGGGCTCGCCTCGCCTGAGCAACCCCTGTCTGTCGCTGCCGCTGCCGCCGCCACCGCCGCTGCCGGCCCGGACTCGCCCGGAGCGCAGGGTGTCTGCCCCGCTGCGCGTTGCGCGCGGAGGCTCTGGCGCCCGCCGCTGAGCCCTCCAGCCTCTGCGAATCGCGCCGGCCCGCGTGGGTCCCGGCGGGCGTAAACCCACCATGCAGCTGCAGTTCCGGAGCTGGATGCTGGCCGCGCTCACCCTGCTCGTGGTCTTCCTCATCTTCGCAGACATCTCCGAGATCGAAGAAGAAATCGGGTAAATTGCTTCGCCCGGGCAGTGCCACGAGCCCTGGCGGGATCTCTATTCCCCCCGTGCTTTTCGCCCCCCACCACATCCCGCTTTGTGTGCGCCGCGCCCCCCTGTCCCTCAGTTGGAGAGGCGGGGGTCGGTTTTGGCCGAGCTGGTGTTGTCAGGGACCCGGGACGGTTTGGGGAGCGGATGGTGCGGGCGCGGCTGCCATGGGGTGTCCCCAGGCGGGATGCACGGGCAGCCCCCAGCTTCCCCGCCTGGGGAAGCAGATCGCCCACCCTGCCCCCTTCGCGGCGTGTCCGCGCGCAGTGTCGCCCGGGTCGAGGGAGGGCGCCGGGGAGTGTCTCAGGCGGGTGTAGGGGCTGAGAGTAGAGGGAGGCAGGAGTTTCTTTGTCTCCAGCTCGGCCGTTTTCTCGCCTTGGCAAAGTGGGCAGGGGGCGCGCGGGGATGTCTGAGCCGGGGGGAGGGGATCCCCGGGCCAGAGCAGAGGGCGGGGCCCTGCACCCACTCCCGGGAAGGGGAATGTTCCCTGAACACACGGACACACACACACACACACACACACACACACACCTCCCGCCCCCCTGGATCCGGGCGTCGGGTTTGGCATCGCTGGAGATGGGGTGTGTGGGCTGGAATGAGACCCCCACCCAGGCCTGGTTTTAGAAGCTCAGCCTGCCAACCCCAAAGAAGCCCCCAGCGACCTGGGGTTGCCGTGCGCTCGCAGCGCAGAGACAGACGTTTCAGCAAAGTCTGTACTGCCGCCCGGTGGGCTTCAGGGCCCCCAGGAGCGCAGGCTTGTTCTGGGCTCTCCCGTTGTCTTCAGAGGTGGGGACCCCCAGCTTCTCTTGGCTAGAGACTTCCTGGAGTGCGCACTTGCAGCGCGGGACGCACCTGCACCTGGTGTGTCCCAAAGCCTGAGAGTCGCGCCCCACCCCGCAGCCTCTCGATCCTCCAAAGGGAGGTGGACAGGAGAGGAACCAGCCAGGTTTTGAGGCAACATGACAGGGAGAAAGTGTAATCTCTGGGAAGGTGGTCTGCCCCTTCCTCTGTGGGATTAGTGCCTAGATAGGCGCCGTATCGCGTCCCGCACCGCGTGCTCCCCTCCTTTGTCCCATTTGATATCTCATTCATTATCAACACGAATTGAGGGCCTGCCACGCTGTCAGGCACCTCAAAAAGGATATGCCTTCTTGACGCCAAGATGCGAAGGCCCCCAAGGACCCTAACCTGGGGGCTGGCGCCACTTGCCTCTCTCTTTTCTCCCTGCCTCTGCCCATCTATCCCTGCAACCTCACAATTCCTTCTGTGGATTCCATTGTGCCTCAGGAACCCTTCTGTCTGGCTCTTTCTCCTCTCCATTCTGGGTTTCCCCAAGAGCTTTGAAAACTTTCACAAATGTTGTTCAGTTAATACTGTATATGCCACCAGCTCCCACAAGAAGACAGAAACAAGTTACTTTTCCCAAGTTTTCACCTCAAAAACGTGGTCCCAAAAGGAAATTGGTCAAGATCCAGCTCATAGAAGATGTAGAAAGGAGGTCCTTCCTCTCGGCTTCCTGGCCTCTGCCTGAGATGTGGGCTTTACCTGGCATAGATCTCCTCCTGACATTTGAGCATGTGAGACGAAAAGACCAGCAGCTTCCCATTGTTCTGCTATGAAAACATAGAAAGTACCACTTTTATGCAGGCGTCCCTTGCTTATCCATTCACTGAACTTTTACGCAATACTTTCTACATGCCAGGACTTTTAATTTTTTAAATGCATCAAGAGATCACTTTGCACCTAAGTTGCACTTTCCTGCCAAATGTATTGTGAAGCCTCCATTTCCACATCAAGTTGTTCTAGTAGGGTATGGAAGAATGAACCCCAAGGCCTGAGCTAAGAAAGGCATTTGCATATAAAGTATATATTTTAAAACCCAGGGCTCTTCTGCTATGAATGTGTCCCCTGGGACTTGTTTCATGTGATGGTCCCTACTTCTTTTTATCTTACCCCTGCCTGGTATGATCCTAGGAAAAAATTGCCAAGGAGGTCAATTTTGGCGTCTTCCTTCCCTCTGGTGCCTCTAGTCTACAGGCTTACTCTTGGCTTGGCCAGTCATCACCCAGGGCTGAGACACCACCCTCTCCTACTCTAATGCCTTGGGCCAGTACTCTACAGGTCATGTGATTGGAACCAACACACAAGTCCCACCCACAAATGGTCATACCTATGTTTAATTCAGAGGGAAAAAGACCTATCTGGGATTCTCCATGGTTGGGAGAGGAAATATTTGAGACAGTGGATGAGAGAGAATCCACCAGCATCTTCTCTCTGTTTACAATACAGTTTAGCACACAGCCACTTAATTAATCCTTGGAATCAACCTAACTTTGAATAATGGGGCTCAGTGCCAGTAAGTGCTCTGGCTCAGAGGCCACTGAGGGGTGTCACAGGGCTCTATCTTCTTCACCATATGCCTTTCCAGGAGACCTTGGATCCTACTCAAGTCTGTAATGTGGTTGCATCAACCTTGCCCACCTTTCCCCAACTTGCTCTTTATCTGTGCTAGAAGCATTACAAATTACCTGCCAGTGTCAGTCCCTAGAAGGAAACTATGGTTCCGTAAGAGATGGCTGGGGATGTAGCTCTGTGGTAGAGCACCCATTGGTTCAATTCCCAGTATAAGTAAATAAATAAATAAATGGCTGTTTCGGGAAGACAATGGACAGTGGAATCTTGTGATCCATTAGGCAGGAAGGGAATACAGAAGGAACCAGATTTGGGGTAAAATTTCCAAAGACTAAGGAATGAAAAGTGAAAGAAGAAAGCAAATTATGTATGTATTGTCTGGAGGAATAAAACTGAGATCCACTTTTTTTTTTTTGAAGCTTTTGATTCCCTGTCTTATAAAATGAGGCTTTTGATGTGGTGCCCCTAGAGGTCCTGTTCTGCCCAAGGAATCATATGCAGTGTGGCAAGGGGCAAGGCTTTCTTTGAGCAGCTTTTTCTGAGAGATACATCTCTTTTCCTAAGTGATTATTTTGAAAGTTCCTCTTCTGATTTTCTTACTGTTATACAGCTGAGATGAATGAGAAAGGGAAGTGTAGAAAGACAGGTTCTCTGCAAAGCACCCAGAGAGTTCTGCTAGGGCGCCAGGAAGCAAATTCAAGTTCTTATTCAGAAATTGGGTGGGGCTTTGGTGAAACAGCCCCTGATCAACACATGCAGGCTCCCAAGTTTTAGAATCAGTTGGATCAAGTTGTAAGCTGAACTGTCCTTCTGGTTGTCCCCTGGGCTTTTGTCTTGAGTTTAACCTTCATGAATAGGTGTCATTGTGTTACTGTGGTATCCCCAGAACTGGCACACAGAAGGCATTCAATGTTGGGTAAATATCTTCCCGGAATCTGGTACTGTGTTGGGCACACACAGCCTCCTGAAGCGAGGCTGAAACTCAAAGTTCCCTAGGCTAGGAAGGATTCCTCTCAAGGAAACCTCCCCTCTTATTATCAGTTAGGGTTAACTTGACCCTGAACTATAATATCACTTATCCAAGATCTCACCCTGATTGCAAAGCAGGTCTGTACAGGTCTCTTCTTTTGTAACCCAATGCACTAGTTTCCATAGTGTAATTCATAAAAGAGTTTCAATACTCTGGTTAAAGAAGAAATGAGTAGCTAATAATAATAATAATAATAGCAATCATACAATGATGAAGGTGATAATGATGGTTAGCACAAATTGAGTGCTTGCTGTGAGCCAAGAGCTATTCCAAGTGCTTCATAGACACTAACATGTTTTATCCTTTAGGCAATGGCCAGTAACAAGTGACACCAAAAACTACAATTTGTTGAACTCAGTGTGCCTGGCACTGTGCTAATTACTTTGAAATGTTAATTAACTGAATCCTCTCCAAACCCCTTTAAACTAAGTACTGTTTCTATCCCCAGTTTATCAATAAGGAAACAGAGACTCAGAGAGATTGTTTCACCTCTCTTTATTTTATGATAAATCAAATGCTTGCCCCTAGCTCAGTAGAGATCAAAGCCCATCCCCTTGACCATCATACTAGACTGATGGGTCCTCTGAATCATTTTTTCCCCTGGGCTTCTTAACTCCCTCCCAGGGATTCTTGCAAAGGCCCAGAGTTTTCCTAAAAGGCAGGGCTGGCATTAATAATTCCCCCCTAAGTAACTTAGGAAGAGGGAGGATGAAAAAGGAGACTTGAACAAGAACTCAGGGCTGGTCATCCCAAGATGTCCATCTGGTTCAACCAAATTCAGCACCTTGTTAGAGGACAGAATGACATTTACCCCATCCTGCCATTCAAGGCCACCTGCCGTGGGCCTGTGTATCTCAGACTCACAGGCAGAACCTTGGAGTTCTGCAGGCAGTTCAGGATTCTGGAGGCAGAATCTTGTGGAGGAGGGAAATCTCCCATTCCATTTCAAACCTGATTCTGATTTCAGTTGAACAGGCCTTCACACCCCTACATGCCATGTGATTGGACACCTGGAGCATGGGTGGTAGTGAAGATCTTTAACAACTGATTCCTCTCTGGCACCCATCTGTTACAAAGGAATCTGACCCGTCAAATTTGATGCCATCTAGTAGCCAGGGTTCCTAGTGCATGTCAAGTCCTGTACTAGATCAGAGGGACTAGCTCTGATCATCAGCTGTGACTACATCTATGAGCAAGTGGCAACTGCTGCCATCAGATGAGAGTGAGGTGAGGTGCACCACTTAGTGGGTGAGTCCTGATGGATAAGAAAGAGTATGACCTTGAGCAGTTGCAGCGGGGCCCTCTGCAAGGAGAAGACATGTCTGCTCAAGGAAATTCAATTTTTTTGAAGCCCATTTTTTTTTCTCCCATATTTTGGTAGACTTCACTCCAATACAAACATGATTGGAGGATAAAATAGGAGAGAAAGAAGGTCTGGTTTTAACTCACTTGCTCCAAGTCTTTGTTGCCAACTGTTCCTAGCATCAAATTTAAATTGTAAATAGATATCCATCTTAGAAAC